CACAGATGCATTGATTCAATTACAAACGATCACAGTATTATTTAACTTGTTGTCAAGTCATTGATAACATTGATTATAAATCAGTCATGATTGTAATAGTGTTCAAAATATCAGTTTGTAGGTTTTGTTATGAAATGCAAGTAGAAGAATAAACCTGAAACTGCGCCATTTGATCTAATACATGTAGGTCAATCTGATTATTAACCAATCAAAATGCAGTGTCAGCAACAATGAAAATCTTATTAAAATTGGACTCTAATTTAGATGATAGATTTTCTAAAATGACTCCTAAATTACTGTTAAATACTTAATCATCATGAGGATCTTGATTTCGCGAGAGGTGATCTTGTGCAGGGTTAATTCCACATGAACATCTATTTTATGAATAATAATGAGCTTGTAGTATTACAGTTAAAATCAATGAAAATCATTTACTTCAGTTTTGAAATGCCGTCGCAGGAAAAAATGAAACGAAAATGAAAATTTCACAGTATAATATTTATGCCACATTATGATTTTGCTCATAAATAAATTGACAGCTTTTTTGCCATTAAAAGTTGCCAATCTGCCATTTTTTTTTTGATCGGCAGTGTATCGGGAAAATGTGGTACTACATGTGTACTTCTATGTAAATTTAGAAAAATTTGGAAATAATAGTGGAAGGGTGGTAGCTCTGATAGTTTCGGTAGGAGGGAGAATTCACTATGAATGATGAGGTCTTTAAACAGATAAGCATGGAAAAAATTGGCTGGAAAGTGCTAGGATCTATGACAAGAAAATGGTTGAATACTGACGCATTCATGATAAATCACTCGTATTATATCTTTCAATCCATTTGTTTAAATAAATTAACATTTTTTTAAACCTTCATCTTATTAATTTATAGATGTTTTCTGTGCTCTTGTGTCTCTTATGTAGATTCAACATATTGTCGTTTATCAAGCAGGCATCAGTGGCATGGTGGGCACAAACATCCCACCTAGTGGCCCTGTCATTATACAACCGCTCAGAGCAGATTTCCAAAGCATGACTGGTTCAACATTTCTACAGAACTTTGCAGCTTCACCAATGATGGCTGAGCCGCCTCCTTACAGTGCTCCTAATGTAGCGGCCCCAGCTTACCAAGCCAATCCGATGCCAGCAGAAATAGTAAGGACAAGGTCTGCCGCAACATTGACACCACAGCGGCCACCACGTTTAACGCTTCGAAAACAACTAGCTGAACCGTGATACATTCATGTATATCAATAATAGGTTGTGATATAATGTGACTGAAAGTATTAAGGTAGTGAGACTATTATTTGTGTTGAAAATTACGATTTTCACATTTATTTATTAATTGATGAAATGCACTATAAACTTTCATCTGATAAAGTCAACGTAACCTAGAATGTCATGTAAGTTGGTTAAAATGTAGATTTTCTGAAGGGAAGCAAGGCAGCTTCAGTAGTGTTTTCCAAAATCAACAACACAGGTTTAATCTGTGTGCCTATAAGTTTCAAAGATTAACTCAAGACAAAGCAATGTTAGGATGTGTTATCAGTAGCTATCTGACACACATTAGTGGCGTTCACGTTAGAGATCTCGGCACGTGCTGAGACTCGGGACCGAGTCGGCACGTGCCGAAAATTGTGTGTGAACGGCCGGGACCGAGTCGGCACGTGCGGAAAAGAACTCGGCACGTGCCGAGATTTGCTGCCTGAACGCTCGGCACGAGCCGAAATCACGCCCTCGGTGGTAAATTTAAGAAAAACATAAGTTGATTGATACTAGCATGAAATTACGATGACAGGAAGATTCGGATATACTAGTAGATGGTCGGATGCTGTAGTAATGAATGCAAACCGTCATCAGCGACGCATATTTATGTGCTGCTACAACCTCTATTTTCTTGCACATTTTACATTGACGTGAAAAAAAGCATTATGTTTCGAATCTTCTTTGCCGTTCATGTGCACGATGGCTCGTAATAAACACCATTGCAACAAATGGATATAATTTCACTATAACAATTATTATTATCATCATATGCGTATCGTTTGGGCCAACAGATCGACGAATGAGAGCGTGATTTCGGCACGAGCCCAGTCGGTCCTAAGTGGGTCCTGAATAACGTGAACACGACTGCTGTTATCCCTTTGCAAACACAACTGATTAAAAATTTCGGCACAAGCCGAGATCCCGTAACGTGAACGTAGTAATTGAAATTTCTTTGTTTGCTTGGTCACATAGTGACCAGAACCCACACAAAAGGGTAATATATTGTAGTATGTTTTGGTGACTTTTTATTTTAGAGCCTCTTGACGCCGGTTTACACAATCATATTGGTATCACATGTTAATTACTTCTATTGTTTTCATTGGTATGCTTATTATGCTGTTTAACTTATCAAAAATATTAGAGTAGGAGTCCTGTTACACTATAACACTCATGGGAGAAGTCCTGCTCAGTATCAAATAATAATGTTCACATACATTACCAATGATACATGTACACATGATCCTGAATACTAGGACTTAATTATTTGCTGTGTTTTATTTTGCTGACTTCTAAATACACTAAATTAAAGATTATATGACTTAGAATGTATTTTGTTTTCTTCACAAACCTGTGAATATTCATGGACATAAAAATATTTAATACATACATACATTTGTATATCAATGGGGAAACCTATTTACAGATCTCTAGAAAGTAACTATAATATACATTGCATAATGACAAATGTCACAATAAAAATACAAAAACAGTATTAATGCATGTGAGTTAAAATAGTTTGGATAATTTCATTTTAAAATACCTAATTGAAGAAAAAAATATCAATATTACAGGTAGATTATTAAAAAAACATGTATTTTGTAACACGAGTAGTTGCATGACAGTCCCGCTGTCTGATTTAAAATATCTCAAACACATACAGGCTGGATACATGTATTACAAATAATACAATAGTCATAGATTAAATCAACAACTTCGTAGAGAAAATACAATGATACAAATCAATGAAGATTTTTAGTCAGATAAAAGTGGAATGTTAAACATTTTGTAGTAAATTAGGTATTGGACTGTCACTGGATTGTTTTAATTGTGAGTAAAATTCATAATTGGAAACAGAAAAAAGAAGCAAACATTTCCATATACATAGGTAATATAAAGTTTACTAATTCTGATTTTTAGCAAATTTTGGAAAACAAATTCTAATTTATTAATGACAGAGAAAGCAAATTGAGTTGAACACATTCAATTTTGTCTGAGAGACCATACCACAAAGCCATATTGATCTAAGAAGAGCTCTATGAATATGACAACATAAGATTCCAGAGGTCATATTTAACTTATCTGAGGTCATTGTAACATTATACCATATTCAATTAAAAGTATTCTTTAACAGCTCAGCAATTTCACTTTATTTGGTAGCCATGGCAACCACTTTTTAAAAAAATTTAATTATTGGATTGTGATCAGCTGGCTGCTGCTTTATGCTGTTGAACTGGACTGATAATATTAGAATATTTATTTTTGAAGTGTATGTTTTCATATTTAGAGTGCAGCACCATCTCCCTCTCATGACTGCTTTCTGACCCCTCCCACTACCCTTCATTTTGCATGGCCGTATGACCATATGTGTATTCCTGATTTCATGGGTTCCATTTTAAGACTTCATGGACATGAGAAAAGGAACTTAAGAAAAATATTTGTAGTATGTCAACAAGTACATGTATGTAAACAAAGTTGTACCAGAAACACACTATTTATTTTATGTGCATGAAGTGCAATATACATTACTATTTTTGGGAATAAGAAATTATGAGCAGTGTCTTGTTGGATAAACAATTTATAGCTTAGCACAAAACACAGTTGTAGTTGTTTATTTATAACAATAGGTAATACAAATGTAGCTTAAACTTTTAAAAAACTGGAAAGTACATGACTATTTATAGTCATACGTTTCCACACCTGCGTAAGTGCCATAAAAATAAATTTAGAGAGAGAATTTAAAGTAGTTAGTCTGATATGATGCGTTCCAATCAACTGAATGTAAAGACATTTAATTGGTTGAGAGACACTTCATTCAGAATTGTAGTTTGCTACAAAGATGTACAAATATGCCTTGGAAATATACATACATGCATGTTTACTTCTGTTGGAGGCACATCTACAAATGTAATGGAGTAAATATAGTCACCACATGTGATTTCCCATACTCCTGCCTGGAACCAAATTCATGTTTTCATTTTTCGCATTTGGTTCTGTCTTTGTCAGAGTATTTTGAACCAGAATGTCTTTTAATCACTTGCAATTTCTCTCTGAAAAAAATAATAAATTGTTAAAAATGTAAAAAAAAACTATTTCTAATGATTGACTCGTGTAATGTTCAATACCTGTATATAACATCATACAGTGGCGATTCACTCAATTCATTATATCCATGTGTGTGGTGGTTGCCATAGTAATGCATGTTAAATCACAAATGTCAACACAGACTACTCCCAAGTAAGCATAGGTTCACTTAAAACCATCACAGCTTGTTGCTGTTTCTACATTTCTACACTACTGTCAGTCGTGATCTGACAGGCAGAATTATGATATTATTGTATTTTAAATATTTTTAATCAACATTTTGGATAAAAATCACATGCAATTGTAGAACAAACACTGTTTGACGGAATTAATTATTTAATGTGTATTTGAATGTTTAATGTGATTCAGAGTATGATAACATATAGATTTGCTACATACATGTATCATATATAACTACATATCGTCTTAATTATATAATCTTGCAGATTTTTTTATTCACAGACATTCAAGGCCATTGCCTTGATTCCTAATGAGTGTGTTTTTGTTCCCTTCAATAATCCCTATATTATTCCTACATGTACAAAATGTATAAGCTTAAGACCATTTTAAAATTTTGCTTTGAAAATGGGCGCCCTTTATCTTCGAAGTTCAAGTCCTGCTGCTGTCATAATAATAATATGAGGTTATTACGAGGATACCAAAAAGTATGCACAAAGACAGTACAGCGGGAATATCAACTGACGCACAGCGGAGGTCGATGCAACAATGTACTTATTATTATACATTTTTTCCTCTCAATGATACATCATGGGATTGCCAAATTTCAAAAAAGTTTAGAACAGAATCAGCTGACTGTGTGTCCGGTCTAACCCTGGTAGCTACCATGTTTGTTTTTTATTATTAGAGGACGCTTATGGGCGTAATCATTCCATATTTGTAATTTGCATTTCCTTATATGGTAGAATTAAAATACCGCAAAATTACGACACGCTTTACGATGACAGATGTAAAATAATAATTGTTATTTATTTGACTGATGAGATAAGAAGCTCTGCAGAATTTCTAGGACTTGGTGTGTAGAAACTACTGCGAGAGATTTTATAATCTATGCATGATTAAAATGTTCTGTACATTTGTTAGACTTTTTTCTTAGATCTTCCACTTTCTGGTTTATTAAAGTTGTTTTACTTCTGTAGTATTTAATATTGATCCATGTCCCCATCTCTAAAGTGAATAGAAATTGTTACAAATGATATTGCAAAGATTTGTTGTGCTACGCAAAATGTTTACAATCTGTTTCCATCGCATGCTATAGTAATGTTAAATGAAATGAGTGTTGGAATGTGACGTCTGTAATCTTGAACTTGTCAATGTTGGTTATATTTTGTAAGGATGAAATCAAACTTTGGAACAAGTGCAAATATGTTTTTGGAATGAGCACAGTTGAGAATTTTACAGAATGATCCTGCTGATCTTGTAACCATAACAGTCATTATTTTACATCGTTACAGAATTTGGATTCTCCCTGACAAATTGTTAAATGCAAGTTATGCAACTTATTGTGTCTGCATATTTTTACGTTGCACTTCTAGAATATTCATGAAGCTTTATTGAGGCCTTGGGACTATATGTATTACAGTGTTTGCGAATTATGGGAGATTTTTAATGATTAATTAATTAATTCTTATTCTGAATCTCAGTTATTGAGAACAGAAGTGAATCTGTGAATCAGTGCCGATGTGTTACCTCTGAGTTTTATTTTCAAGAAATGTGAGAAGACCAACTTTCTCTGTGAAATTGGACAATATGATTCTATTCGACTTCGTGCATTTTGTATTCAAGTACACCTGATTCAAGGTTTGGGGGATCAAATTATTGCATTTTTCATTGTCAGTTTTGCTTCAATCGAATACTGAGTCACACATATTAGAACAATAATTGGACAATAGGAAGCCGACGCAACTAGTTGGATGCACCAACAATTGCTGAAATTGTTCAGTAAATATTTCTTGCAATATGCAAAAAGTCAGCGTGTCAGGTTCATTATATTTGACATAATAGTTGAAGAACCACAATAACAGTTCAGTAATGATCTTCAAGTGTTATTTTCAGTTTCCAGTCAACTGTATCGGGATGAAAACCTTTCTGTACCCCAGCTGCTGTTTGCAGTTTAAGTGAACACCTGGTCATGTTTTAATTGCCAACATTATACAATTCTGTGTTCAAGATTCCACACATGCGTGCCCACTAGCCATCAACACAAAGTTATTAGTGTGAAAACCTTACAAGCAATCATTCAGTCTGGCTTACCAAACATTACATCTGATTTCATACATTAGCCATCGCTGTCGCTCACTCGTTTGTTTGTTTGCTCTGTGACGACAGCTGAATATGGTTGTGATATGCAACACACATACAGATCATAGCACAGATATTGATAGTAAGTCACAGTCCCATAACTTTCCACCATATATCAAAGCCTGTTTTACATTTTCTACAATGTACTATGATTTATCACTTCAATTTCGCGATAGATAAACTTATGTAAATTTCACTCATGGAATTCCTAGAAATGCAACATGAAGAAAAAAATTTCACTGGCGATGAACTGACTGGTAATTTTTTCTCAGATTCTCAAATTACGCTGAAATGGCAAACGTTCCTAGTGGGTTATAGTAATTTATACAGCAGAGTACACTTATTTCTACTTGTGTCCCTTGCATGGTTTGCCCTTTTGCATTTATTACTCATTTTTATTATTTTAAGTAAGTTATTAGCTCATTTCAGTTATCTATATACTTTAAGTGTATTATTATATTTTGCTATTGCTTATGTGAAAACACTGTTCACATTAATAAATCACTGTGTATGTTTTAAAACCCTTCCAAACAAAGTCACTGGGTTATATAGTTAGGCATCCATGAATGTAATTCCTTTTTTGCAAGAGATGGTATGCCTGTATTTCAGACTGTTTTATTTTTACATGATACTATAATAACCAAGTGAGTGGGAGTTTCAGTAAAAACCATAACATAACCATAATGCTTGGAACTCGTGAAGGCTTGATGCAAGTCGATTACGTTGATGTATTGCTAGATGTATAGACAAAAAAATGGCTGATTACATAAAACTGAAAGCGAAAGCTCATCAGTGATGTTTCACATAAAAGGTTTCACAGCTTTTTCTTCATTTACATTCAGCAATGCTTTTTCAGATTACTATGCCGTCTATATGACGCACCTAAAATTCTTTGGGCCTTTCACATTTTCGTCAGTATTTCAATCCAAGACAATTTTAGAATCTAGTTTTCAGCTTTAAAGTTTGACACCTTTAATTCATTAATTTTAACCCCTGTGTTTTAAAATGGTGACCTCTAGACTGTTTAGAGCTAAACTATTCCAATATTTCCAGTACCAGTGTGGTTATATCAACTTCATTTTTGGAAACAACTTGGAATGATTCATGTATGCACATCGACAATTTGATTTTAGAAACTATACCAACCTTTAAGTTTTGAAAACTGTGGATACTTCACTCATTGGCTCATGTGTAAAATAACCCTTCTCCTCTAGTTTTTTGCATCAGTAGTGTAGTGTACTTCAGTAATCTTCTGAGTAAACTAATTTTTCAAGGCTCGGCCTCTTTCATGAAAACAATAACTTTGGGATTCTCCTACAGTAATGCGCCCAACTCTGAACTGAATTCTTTGAATTGAAAATTGGTCAAAAATGCACACAACTTATATTCATAATTCCTAAAATAGTTCAGATACAATGTACAGTACTTATTTCCTCAGATTTGCAAATAGCTAAAATATTCACTCTGAATTTGAAGAAGAAAAAAAATTCTTTTCTTATGTGCAAGATGCAATTCTGTTCAAGATACTAGTAATATGTTATACAATTACATGTACCACTAACCATTAATGTTTGTATTGAGTATTTGCCCCGCCTTATAGAATCGTAATCTTAAAAGCTTCGTCATGGTAGACTGCCTCTTAATTCAGTTCCTTCAATATACAGTGAATGACTAAATTGTGCGCATTCGATACACATACTGTATTTTTATGGCATTTTGATTAGGTTTTGTTGATGTTAAACTTCTACCAATCATCGTCTAATATTCATATGTCAAGCTGTGCTTGCTTCACAACAATCAAATACTGATGTGATGTGTCTGGGTCGTAAACTTGCTTTTTACTCTCTTTATTCCTTTATCATTTCAGTCTAAAGAGAAAATGATGAGAGGATCCCGAAGAGGTTGTGTACGACTTAAGGTCAGTGGACATTGACTTTTGTGTCTTCTTCTGAATTGTAGATTTTTTGACATTGTCAGAGTGGATTGAATTATTTTTCACTAAAAACTGTAATGAATTGACAAATAAAATGTTGTATGATTTATCATGAATATACATGCAAACCATTCAAAACATGTTGTAATTTTAGTGTTGATTACGTTTTCGGGAAATTATCGATAAGAGGTAAACACCCTCAATCTGGCAAGTTGGGAAATCTGGTTGAGGACTACTTGCCCCAAACATCTTTCTTTATATTTTTTTATGGTCATTTAAAATTTAAATTTGAAATTTTTAGGACAATACATGTATCCTGTATTTACTGGACTAATTAGTAGTGTTGGAAGTACCCGGTATTAGAAGTACAACAAATGTACATGTATATCAATTTTATTCAAAAAAATAAATGCTGTATCAATGTGATCTCATTCATGCCTGGTACATACCTATTCAGCAATCGGTGATTGTGAAGTAAGGCAGAAACACAAATTCAATTTTGAACTTTAATGGCGAAATATCAATCTTTCAAAAAGGAATATGGCAATGAAATATCATTACTTCATCTAAATTCTTCATCAAATATTATTAGGTGTGTAAATACCCAAAATATAAATATACTTTGTTGAAATCACAAGCCATGTTTTGACCTCGCTACGACCTTTGTTTGTCCTGTTTTTACATTTGATTTCAAGCATAACACAGTATTTCGCAGTGAACGGAAAATGATCTACTAGTACTTACAAGACTTCTCATTTTACCTAAGGCTGCCTTAATTGGCATAGATGATGAAGACGACTCCACATTTACTATTACATGTGATCAAAAAACTTTTCACTTCCAAGGTAAGCGTTCTTTCACTGTCAGTCTTGGCATTCTTTTATCGCAAAGCATTTGTGCAATTTCTCCAGTGACAGCCAGTTTGTATTTTATGGACTGGTAAATAGACTTTTGTTTTGACATACCCTGATGTAAAATATACATGTACATGTATCATTGCCGTATGTTGGAAACCATGATAGCAACATTGCTAGCATAACTCGCAGACTTGTTTGCTATTCACATCTCAAGATTGTTGCGTGATTAGACCCGTAAAATCAAACAATTTTTATGCGGGTGCATCATTCGTCTAAATGCTCAGTTTACTCGTAACACAGACATGCATCAGTGACTGTTCTGACAAAATTTTTGTTGGTTTCACATTTCATATGCAAATTTATAAGATTAGAAGGAATAAATAGTCTTCGCTTGGTATTAGGGGAGAGTAGGAAATCAAATCGGTGGTGCAGTACTGTCATCACCACAGTGGTCGGTGGTTAACTGTAGTGGGACTATCACCTTTTATGCAAATTTACGCATAGATTCCATGCCGGTGCATTATAAACCAACCAAAGAAAAAATAGTAGTATCTACTGGGAGTTGATATTTCATCTGTGAGAGAAAATATTTTAAAGAGTTAAAATGGCTGGTATATACTGCCCTCTATAGACTGGTTTAGTAAACATGCTCAGATCATTGGCATATGAGAACTTCATGTATACGTTTCAAACTACAAAATAAGTTCTTTATTCTACGTGTCTTATAGGTAGTGTGTTATATTGAAAACTAATTTGTTTATTCGTATAGCCAACTATAAATAAGTTATCTAATCAAACAACAATTGAAAATAATGAACAGTTTCATCATACCGCTTTGACAAAAAAAAAGAAAAGAAAAGAAGCTGACCACCCCTCCCCTGGGCTTGAACTTCAGACAGGTGGGATGGGGGGCACAGTTTCAAGGCCAAGTTTGATCAATTTGCCTTACCATATATGACTAATATAGGGGATACAATGTATCTGTATTTTTGTTGAGGGACACCAAGGCTTGTTATCATGTCTGCATGAAGTTGAAGTGCTGCTGAATACTGGCAACACTAGACATGATGAGTTAGTTCAGTACTTGCAGAAAATATTTAAAAATAAACCATTGTTTTCTACAAAATTTTAAAAAATACACATGTAACAGTTTGCATGCATGCCATTGAGTCATTGAGTTGTTTGGAAGGGAGTTGTAATTTCTCTGGATGTGTAAGTGTCTTTAAACTCTAGAAACATGCTCCATGTTTTATTAAATGTTTAACATTATTTCAGTGGAGCATGATATACATATTGGTCTATTTGCATATTTCTAAAACAGTATACTACCAGTACCCTACATAAACAATTGTACACAATATCATACTCTTTTATCACCAGCATTTTTACCCCAAAAATATATTTCTATTTTTGAATCCAAACTGACAATCTCTCATTATTTACATCTGAGCTATATTTTGTGGTAATCTGTTTGATTAAAATATTTCAATACAACATTACTCATTTTTTTTTTATATTATGAAATTTCTCTATTAGTTTTGGATAAAATAAATATAACTTCTAATTTGCAAAAACCTGGATCAAAACTTTTTAAAAAAAGTATCGTTATTTTTTATTTTTTTATTTTGTGAAAGGTTATAAAAGTGCATATTTTGTCGTTTAAAAGGATTTAAAACAGATGGTTTAGTAAACCTAATTTTTGAGATCACTAAAACTAACCCAATGTTATATAGTGGGACTGAATAAAAACATTATATTTCTGTATTTCACGATTTAAACAAATTTTGATTTAATTTACCTTACCTTCAATTTACAAAATAAAATTGAAATACCCTTGTGATTATAGTTACATATTATTATTATTAATAGGGTGATTTCCAGTTACTATAGCAACTATTCAAGTATTTACTTCCTCCATAGTTTTTTATTTGTTTGGTTACCGTTGATGTAGTGTGACCTTTCACCTTTCACATAATCAGGAGTGGTATCAGTTATCTGTACCGGTGTACAAAGGTCGTCAAAAATTCAGGTTGAAATGCAACACATTTTACAGGCACGTAATGCATATGTGGATATTCAGTAGTGGCAGCTGTTTCCCCGTACCCTGCAATCTACCATCGCTTTACGCTGGGCTAAAATTAGAAAGTATCTGACAAGCTTTAGCCAGGACTAAATACAGCTATTTATGGGCATGCCAATAAAAAATCGTTTCATCTACAAAATGTGGCGTGAGGGTAAACGCAAGCTACGCAAAGGCAAGAAAAAGAAGACTCATTCACATCACAATGTTCACTATGATCGCTTACATCATCCCGTACATCGTCTTGCAGCACGCGATGCAGAGGAGCGTGGTAAATGGGTGAATGGACTAGAAGAAACAATTGTCAGACATTCACAGCCGCGTTGGGTGAGTAATGCATAGGTGAATGTAATATTTACACTGCATGGAATACTGTAAAATACTTAATTTTAGTTGGAATTTTTGCTGAAAATACATTTTGGCTGTTTTGTATTGAGTTTATTTTCACTGATTTTTGACGAGTTGATTGTAAAATGTACAAAAAATGTTTATTTGCTTGATTTTTTTGTCACTGAGTCATCCCTTCAGTGGAAATATCGAACATCAATTCCAATTGAAAATAAAGTACTTTACAGTAACATGAATGGACTTTGTGATGGGTGTGTATCTGTGTATCTGTTGGGTCTGTATCAGGTGATTGGTAATGAACATATCGTACAGTAAACTGTAATTTACATGCCATAGTAGAGTAAGAAATGTGTGTCTTTATTTTCTGTTTAGTTTTATTGGTTGTTCTACAAGGTGTGAAAGATGCGTATTTTGTTTTGGTATCAGGCAAAATTTGTGTATTTTTACCGCATACACTGCTTGTGTATATACAATGTAATACATGTGTAAACACAACAGAGTGTACTATCGCATCATTATACTGCCATTTATGGCTCAAAATTATTACTTTACCAGACAAGCAGATTTTACCTTGGATAGATGGTAGTAGTATCTGTATGTCCACCTGTGCCAGACAGGCAGATTTACCTATGACAGATGATAGCAGAATCTGTATGTTCACCTGTACCAGACAAGCAGATTTTACCTTGGACAGATGGTAGTACTGTAAAATCTGCATTAGAAGCTGCGGCTTCTATTAAAATGGTACGATGCAACAGATGGGATGCGGTTTCTATTAGAACATCTACACATATGAGAAATTGTGAATGTTTGGTACTCAATTGCTCAAAAAGAATGGGTGCGACTTATATTAAAGATGCGGCTTCTAATACAGATTTTACGGTATCTGTATGTCCGCCTGTGCCAGACAAGCAGATTTACCTATGACAGGTGATAGCAGAATCTGTATGTTCACCTGTACCAGACAAGCAGATTTTACCTGGGACAGATGGTAGTAGAATCTGTATGTCCACTTGTGCCAGACAGGCAGATTTTACCCTGGACCGATGGTATTAGAATCTGTATGTCCACCTGTACCAGACAGGCAGATTTTACCTGGGACAGATGGTAGTAGTATTTGTATAGTAGAATCTGTATGTCCACTTGTGCCAGACAGGCAGATTTTACCCTGGACCGATGGTATTAGAATCTGTATGTCCACCTGTACCAGACAAGCAGATTTTACCTGGGACAGATGGTAGTAGAATCTGTATGTCCACTTGTGCCAGACAGGCAGATTTTACCCTGGACCGATGGTATTAGAATCTGTATGTCCACCTGTACCAGACAGGCAGATTTTACCTGGGACAGATGGTAGTAGTATCTGTATGTCCACCTGTACCACACAGGCAGATTTTACCTGGGACAGATGGTAGTAGTATCTGTATGTCCACCTGTACCAGACAAGCAGATTTTACCTGGGACAGATGGTAGTAGAATCTGTATGTCGACTTGTGCCAGACAGGCAGATTTTACCCTGGACCGATGGTATTAGAATCTGTATGTCCACCTGTACCAGACAAGCAGATTTTACCTGGGACAGATGGTAGTAGTATCTGTATGTCCACCTGTACCAGACAAGCAGATTTTACCTGGGACAGATGGTAATAGAATCTGTATGTCCACTTGTACTAGACAGGCAGATTTTACCTAGGACAGATGGTAGTAGTATCTGTATGTCCACCTGTACCAGAGAGGCAGATTTTACCTTGGATAGATGGTAGTAGAATCTGTATGTCCACCTGTACCAGACAGGCAGATTTTACCTGGGATAGATGGTAGTAGAATCTGTATGTCCACCTGTACCAGACAGGCAGATTTTACCTGGGATAGATGGTAGTAGAATCTGTATGTCCACCTATACCAGACAGGCAGATTTTACCCAGTACAGATGGTAGTAGAATCTGTATGTCCATCTGTACCAGACAGGCAGATTTTACCCAGTACAGATGGTAGTAGAATCTGTATGTCCACCTGTACCAGACAGGCAGATTTTACCCAGTACAGATGGTAGTAGAATCTGTATGTCCATCTGTACCAGACAGGCAGATTTTACCCAGTACAGATGGTAGTAGAATCTGTATGTCCACCTGTACCAGACAGGCAGATTGTACCCTGGACCGATGGTATTAGAATCTGTATGTCCACCTGTACCAGACAGGCAGATTTTACCTGGGACAGATGGTAGTAGAATCTGTATGTCCACTTGTGCCAGACAGGCAGATTTTACCCTGGACAGATGGTATTAGAATCTGTATGTCCACCTGTACCAGACAGGAAGATTTTACCTGGGACAGATGGTAGTAGTATTTGTATAGTAGAATCTGTATGTCCACTTGTGCCAGACAGGCAGATTTTACCCTGGACCGATGGTATTAGAATCTGTATGTCCACCTGTACCAGACAAGCAGATTTTACCTGGGACAGATGGTAGTAGAATCTGTATGTCCACTTGTGCCAGACAGGCAGATTTTACCCTGGACAGATGGTAGTAGAATCTGTATGTCCACCTGTACCAGACAGGCAGATTTTACCTGGGACAGATGGTAGTAGTATCTGTATGTCCACCTGTACCAGACAAGCAGATTTTACCTGGGACAGATGGTAGTAGAATCTGTATGCCCATCTGTACCAGACAGGCAGATTTTACCCAGTACAGATGGTAGTAGAATCTGTATGTCCACCTGTACCAGACAGGCAGATTGTACCCTGGACCGATGGTATTAGAATCTGTATGTCCACCTGTACCAGACAGGCAGATTTTACCTGGGACAGATGGTAGTAGAATCTGTATGTCCACTTGTGCCAGACAGGCAGATTTTACCCTGGACAGATGGTATTAGAATCTGTATGTCCACCTGTACCAGACAGGAAGATTTTACCTGGGACAGATGGTAGTAGTATCTGTATGTCCACCTGTACCACACAGGCAGATTTTACCTGGGACAGATGGTAGTAGTATCTGTATGTCCACCTGTACCAGACAAGCAGATTTTACCTGGGACAGATGGTAGTAGTATCTGTATGTCCACCTGTACCACACAGGCAGATTTTACCTGGGACAGATGGTAGTAGTATCTGTATGTCCACCTGTACCAGACAAGCAGATTTTACCTGGGACAGATGGTAGTAGAATCTGTATGTCCACTTGTGCCAGACAGGCAGATTTTACCCTGGACCGATGGTATTAGAATCTGTATGTCCACCTGTACCAGACAGGCAGATTTTACCTGGGACAGATGGTAGTAGTATCTGTATGTCCACCTGTATCATACAGGCAGATTTTACCTTGGACAGTTGGTAGTAGCATCTGTAAGTCCACGTGTACCACACAGGCAGATTTTACCTGGGACAGATAGTAGTAGAATCTGTATATCCACTTGTACTAGACAGGCAGATTTTACCTGGGATAGATGGTAGTAGTATCTGTATATCCACTTGTACTAGACATGCAGATTTTACCTGGGACAGATGGTAGTAGAATCTGTATGTCCACCTGTACCAGACAGGCAGATTTAACCTGGGACATATGGTAGTAGTATCTGTATGTCCACCTTTACCAGACAGGCAGATTTTACCTGGGACAGATGGTAATAGAATCTGTATGTCCACTTGTACTAGACAGGCAGATTTTACCTGTGACAGATGGTAGTAGAATCTGTATGTCTACCTGTACCAGACAGGCAGATTTTACCTGGGACAGATGGTAGTAGTATTTGTATGTCCACCTGTACCAGACAGGCAGATTTTACCTGGGACAGATGGTAGTAGTACATGTATCTGTATGTCCACCTGTACCAGACAGGCAGATTTTACCTGGGATAGATGGTAGGAGAATCTGTATGTCCACCTATACCAGACAGGCAGATTTTACCCAGTACAGATGGTAGTAGAATCTGTATGTCCATCTGTACCAGACAGGCAGATTTTACCCAGTACAGATGGTAGTAGAATCTGTATGTCCACCTGTACCAGACAGGCAGATTTTACCCAGTACAGATGGTAGTAGAATCTGTATGTCCATCTGTACCAGACAGGCAGATTTTACCCAGTACAGATGGTAGTAGAATCTGTATGTCCACCTGTACCAGACAGGCAGATTTTACCCAGTACAGATGGTAGTAGAATCTGTATGTCCATCTGTACCAGACAGGCAGATTTTACCCAGTACAGATGGTAGTAGAATCTGTATGTCCATCTGTACCAGACAGGCAGATTTTACAGCTGGGTTGATTTATTTATTTGTTTATTTTAGGTCTTTACATCCAAGAATAGGTTTTCATGCTCTGCATATAGAGTATGCTGTTATCAGTCATCATTAAAAATGTCAGCTCCCTCACTGTGTAATGTAGGAGCTTTGGGCAACATGATAAAAAGTCCTGTACTTCTGTTACTTGAAAATGATAGTTTGTCTGTTGCTGGATGGATAATTATAATTTCTTGTAAACTTGCCAAGTGAAAAAGAGAGTTGGTATTGGCAATGTATTTTTTCAAAGAGAATTTCTAATATTTTTAAATGATGAACAAATTATTTAAATATTGCTTATTTGTAGATTTTAAACATTAAAAAAAATTGAAATCTATAATGTTAGGATTAATCATTTCTACCCCCTTTTTGTTGCTAACGCTTCCAGTAACTTGGCAACCATGGAACATGCCAAGGAATTTCAAAGTGCCTTACGAGATGACTTCCGTAACACAGGTTCTGATTGGTTGATGTTTCTATGAGACATCATTGTGACTTACATTTACTTTGTGTGATGTACATGTTCATGTAGTAAGAAGGATTGCACACTATTGACAGGATTAAATCAACTAGAGCATGTAAATATAATTTTAAAGCTTTGAAATATCATTTTTCCTCAAAAATGTTTGTGCATTTTTCTATTTTTTTTTTTTCAATTTTAGACCAAATGTTCATCATTTCTAAATGGCTTCAAGTCTTGATCACAATTTCAGGAAAATTATAAAAAAAAATATTGGAAAAATCATAAAAAAAATTATTGGAAAAATTATAAAAAAATTATTGGAGTTATTCATAACTTGCTTAAAAAAATGTTTAGTATTTACATGTCAAAAGTACAGTGTTGTAGGACTATAGGTTTTGTACGTTTGTACGTTTGTATTAGGCTATCAGTATTCTCAAACTAAACCTATATTTTACTTTTGAGGTGTACATTGTGTTATCTGTGTACATTGCCATAGTCTGCATACATGTAAAATATCAAGGCATCCGGAACAAACTAATATGTGTCATTTTTGACAGCAAAATTTCATTAATTTTTCAAAACATGGAATTTTATTTCTCTGGAAGCGGATTGAATCATCATAATACTAACCCACACGAATACATGTATGATGTCGAATTGTGCACACCACAGATTATAACAAATAATCTCTAGTGGGATGGTCATAGTTTAATCACCTTCTTCTCTGTTGTATGAAAGAGAGGACAGAGACACTTTTCTCCAAATAAAAAAATGTTGTTCTTATAACATTCTTTTCAAAAGTAGGGGAATAGAGATGTTGTTCAAATTTGTCTCTGTGTTACAACTATGTTTAAATTTTTTTTCACAAATAACAACTGCTTTTGCAGATATAAGTGTCATAAATCATGTTCAAAGTTGTTTACATAACCCAGTTTTGCAAAGTTTTGAATTTCTATAAAATCACAATTTTGTGACATATTCTCTATAACATGGCCGCCCCAAAAAAAAGGTTCAGGCAGTAAAGCATAGGGTAGGGTAGACTCATAGGAACAAATTATATAATAATTTATTAAATTTAATCCATTTAATTCAGAACCAAAATTACATACACGATAGTAAACAAAAGAACTCATGGTAGTATATTCATGATAATAGCTTGCAGAAAGCTGGAAAATTAATTCTGTATTATTTTCTAGCTGGCTAGATTATTTTCATAATTTGCACAGCCTAACATTTTACTTGTTGCTTATTTAATTTAACCCTTTGAGGACCACAGTTTTTTCCACCCAGAATTCTCAGCAAATATTTTCACTTTTTGTAAAATAATCATCAAATTTTGTCATCATTTTGGACCTTAAAGATTTTAGGATATTGCTTTTAGTTTTTGATCAAAAGGTTTGTCAATTTTTTATCTGCATTTCATGTGGGGAGGAGCAGACTACAAACTCATTTTGTAGATGGTGCCAAAAGTTGACAATGACTATCAAATGGGGAATGTCATAAAAGTAATTTAATCTCACTATTTTCATCGACCAGCTATATTTTGTACCAAATCTGACAATTTGGCCGAGAACAGCTTGCCTTCAGAAAGTAGCAAAGAAACAAACAAACAAACATACCACCTAGACTATATCAATTACTGCGTTTCTGATAAATTTATTCCCTGCAATATGCAGAGGTCTAAACATGAGTTATCTTTAAATGTCCTTTGACACAATCACATTCGACACCTAATGAGGTCACATGTTGTTTGTGAATTCTCTACTCAGTTGTCTGAGTAAAGTGTGTCACCTTTTACATTAAGCAGTATTGGCATGTATGCCAAATAATTTAAATATTAATGTATGTAATTCTGAAACAAAATAGCATAGACATAAATCATATCATGATTCATATGTGATTAATTATTCATGACATCATTCGATTTGGGCAAATGAATATTTAATAGTAAATTTATCAAAATTTATATAATTGTTGACGCACTGAAATCATTTTGCAAAGTATTTTGTTCAGGTAGTGTATTTTTTGTATTGATAATAAATAACTGAAAAGTCACAACAAAGAATGCACTCCGGGTTGAAAATACCTGCATTTATGTTTTCCATATTCCATCCGATACACACACTGTACATAGTTATGTTAGTGGTTTACAGTGAAATGATTGCCTGTCTGTATACCCAAGATTGGGTAGTTTTTCAGTCGGGTTGGTAAACTTGTAAGCTCGTGGTCCGGTAAAATTTGTCATTGTCTTCTTCAATACAAATTTCGAAAATGCAATTTACTTATTTTGATATTATTTTGAACGCCATTCTTCTATGAATTCTGAAATAAAAATCATGAAAAAAAAAATGCAGCGATTTAAAATGGGTTTAAATTATCTGTATTGTGTGTCAGTAGAAAGTAGAAAAGTTTTTGTGGTACTTATGGAATAGGAATGGAATTTTTTTTAAATAATATTTATTGCTGGCCTGGTAACTTTCCTGTAGGGCTGGTAAAATTAGAAATTTACCTGCACCACTGTCTGGTAACACCATTTTTAGAAATTTAAACAAGGATTCTGTCAGTTGTATTTTTAGTAAAAAGCATTTAAAAGCATCATCCCAAACAACCCTATTGAAACAGTGTTGTCGTTTTTTATTACACAGTGCGCGAGTTGTTTACGCTGAAAGATAGCTAATCAAAATTGTCCAAATATTTTCACATATCTGTGAATGAAACCTTCATTTGCTTAAATCAAGAAGGGTCACCGCTAACATAATTGACACATATTTCAGTGTGACGTCTCCAGTACTGGTGTTCCTACACTTGAAGATTTTGATAAGAAGTTAGTTGAAGCTGATGCCTACCTCCAGATCTTGATAGACCAGTGTAATGCCTTGGAAATAAAAATAGAGAAATGTCAAGATGAAGAGGAGAAAAAAAAATATGAATCCTTGAAAGATGCTGCTCATGTAAGTACAGTGTCTACTGTATTGTATATTCATTTTCATTTGGCATTTATTTTCGCTGAATCAGTGAAAAGAAAATCCTGTGAAAATATTTTTTTTTTCTATTCTTCTCATCCAAAATTCATTGAAAATAAATGTTAAACAAAATGTCTTTTCAACAAAATTATTCCAGCTAAAATAAAATATTCTGTTTTTTTCTTCTGTTTTTTTAATTATCGCTGTGCATTTCCTGTCTTAGAATTTCACGATTTTCGTTCCTGAGTTATTTTATGTGCAAATATCGAGGGCAAGTGTGCATCGTCACAGTCTTTCTATATATACCATTCTGGAAACTGACCAACTTTCTTTCAAACAGTGTACATCACAGATAAGTTAATGGATTAAAACATTTTAGACAATAGTTGTGCCTGTCATCAACACTGCACAGAACAGTCATTATATCGCTGAACATAAGAAAATGCACTGGTCAGTAATAGGAAAGTTTGATGAGAGAGAAGCAGAATTTAGAATCTTTCTTGAGCTAACCCCTTGTGCGTTAAACCAACTACAAACAATGCATTCATCAGTTTAGGGATTAAATATAGTCTTCTATAGGGACTTATTTTCAATCTATCTTCAATCTTCGGTATGTATTAACATTTAGCAAGATTTGAGTTACCCTGTATAATGCAAACCACCTGTAACAATACACAATTAGTGGATAAGCAAGAACACTAGCAAATATAACTGAACACTAACACTAACCATTTTTTTGACAGTCTCACTCGCATGCTTGTTGAAATGTTATTTATTTGAACTCAATTCTCACAAGGTTCATTTATTCCTATTTCAGAATCTATTGGAATCAATAAAGCAATCTATCGTGTTGTTACAACTTGCAAAGGTACGAAATTTGACATCTCATTTTTATTTTATTTGTTGTTTTTATCTGACTGCTTTACAATCTGTATGATTCTTATGTCTTTAGTGATGCCACTATCTTGCACCTGTATAATTTTCTTTTTTTAATCTTGAAATTTCTCATTTTTGCTGTCTTGTGTGCATGTACACGTCTTATCTTTGTTTTGTAAATATGTGAATAACAAAGCCTCCTCCCTTCTCCAAAAAAACACTCACCAAATATAATGTGACATTAAGCTCATAGATAAATGTGACATATGACAAATTTTCAACCAGTGAAACAATGTAGGTAAAGGTGACACAGAGCAAATTCCCAACCAGTGACACAATGTATGTAAATGTGACATATGGCAAATTTTCAACCAGTGACACAATGTAGGTAAATGTGACATATTGGCAAATTTTCAACCAGTGACACAATGTAGGTAACAGATACATGGCAAATTTCCAACCATTGAAACAATGTAAGTAAATATGACATGCCTAATTCCCAGTGAGTGACACAATGTCGGTGAATGTGACACATGGCAAATTCCCAACCAGGGACACAATGAAGGTAAATGTGACATATGCCTAATTCCCTGTGAGTGACACAATGTAGGCGAATGTGACACATGGCAAATTCTCAACCATTGACACAATGTAAGTAAATGTGACATATGCCTAATTCCCAGTGAGTGACACAATGTAGGTGAATGTGACACATGGCAAATTCCCAACCAGAGACACAATGTAAGTAAATGTGACATATGCCTAATTCCCAGTGAGTGAGACAATGTAGGTGAATGTGACACAAGGCAAATTCCCAACCATTGAAACAATGTAAGTAAATATGACATATGCCTAATTCCCAGTGAGTGACACAATGTCGGTGAATGTGACACATGGCAAATTCCCAACCAGGGACACAATGAAGGTAAATGTGACATATGCCTAATTCCCTGTGAGTGACACAATGTAGGCGAATGTGACACATGGCAAATTCTCAACCATTGACACAATGTAAGTAAATGTGACATATGCCTAATTCCCAGTGAGTGACACAATGTAGGTGAATGTGACACATGGCAAATTCCCAACCAGAGACACAATGTAAGTAAATGTGACATATGCCTAATTCCCAGTGAGTGACACAATGTCGGTGAATGTGACACATGGCAAATTCCCAACCAGGGACACAATGAAGGTAAATGTGACATATGCCTAATTCCCAGTGAGTGACACAATGTAGATGAATGTGACACAAGGCAAATTCCCAACCAGTGACATCACAATGTATGTAAGTAAATGTGACACATATTTTAAACTCCCACCCAGTCACATAATATAGGTACCGTATTACCCCGGGCACGCGCCCAGGGGCCTGAACATACAAAATCGGGAAAAAATGTGAGTGGGCGCTTACTCGAGGACCACCCCAAAAAAGATTTTAAAAAGTTGTTTTTGTGATCGTATGATAAGGTCAAATAAAGGAATGCTTTCGTACACTTTGTACATGTACTTATTTCTTGATTTATGCGAGGTTTCAATAAACGTGAGCACTTGGTCAAGAACTGTGGGAACACTAAGACACAGGGTCGAATTTCAAGAATAAAACTTGTTTTATGTCAGCGAATGAAGTTGTATTACTCACTGAAATTGGCTACAAAGTATGGTAAGTATTGTAATCAATGCACAGTTACTATTTTAGTGACCATGATCAGTGCATGCAAGTCGAAACGGCCGGGAAAAACTACCGGCTGTAATCCAGATGACGATGACCTCATTAGCATAATTTTGTTCACGCACGTATTGATACTTCGTATCGTAATACTGAAGAATAGCAGACAGGGTTATGAAACAAATAACCTTTTATTACT